ATGTGCCGCATACATGCCGTGTGGCGCGGCGTGGGTGCGGTGCGGTGCGGTGCGGTGCGGTGCGGTGCGGTGCGGTGCGGTGCGGTGCGATGCTCATGCGTCACCTGACCACCTCCCTCGCCCCCGGCGCGCGCAGGTCTCGCAAATTCATCGCAATTTTGTTCAGACGGCCACGATGCTGGATCAATTGGCGGCGCTGCCACAAAAAATCGAGTCCGTCGCTCACCTCCTCGCCATTTCTCGTCGAGATTTGTTCGACGGTTGTCCCAACTTGCTAGCCTTGCACTATCACATCTCCAACTTGGAGACCTTTCGAAACGAGACGTTGCAGATGGCCAGGACGTGCTCCTCGGATGTGAGGTTGACGCTGACGGAATACTTTGCCCCGCTGGATGGATTGGTGAGGCAGTTTGAAGAGTACTTGTGGGACTTGGGAAGCAGAGCATTGGATCTGGCCCGCGAGGATATGGGCGGAGTGGTGGTGCGCTTGGTCAAGGTCATCGAGGTCGAGTCGCGAGCAGACGAAAAGGCTGCGGCCATCAGGTTGGCCAAGAAAGCAGGTCTAGAGGGAGCTGCACGCTTCAGGAGCGTTATTGCCAATGCGCGCGTCATCAAGCTCTACAGACCCAAACTCTTGGAAGCGATGGACAGAGCTACGCTGGAGCTGTTCGAAGAGTGCTGGAAGAGATTCGGGGCATCGGAAGATGGCGGAGATGCGCGCTGCATGGAGTTTTTGGAGCATTTGGATTGGATATACAAGGATCTGGAAGCGGTGCAAGAATTGCTGGTGCCGCTCTTTCCGCAGGACTACAACATCTTTCGATGGTTCGTCAAGAGCTATCACAAGCATTTGGGCGAGATGCTCACGCAGAGGATCCTCAAGACAGATCCAGAGGCTAGCGCGCTCTTGGAGCTGTACCAGTTCTGCCAGTCTTACAAAAAGACGATGACCAAGACGCTGGCGGTGGATGTCAAGTGGATCGAGGAACCGCGCACGTTGCTAGATGGCAAGGAGCAGACGATCATCGACGACTACCTCTCGCTCATCACGCGCAAGATCGACGAGTGGATCGCGAACCTCATGTCGGATGAAGTGAGGACCTTTGTTTCGCGCGACGTTCCGCCGGAAGAGGATGGCGATGGCGTGTACGGCATGCAGTACTCGTCTTTGATCTTTCAAATGATCAATCAGCAAGTCGACTTGTCTGCCGACTCGGGACAAGCTTCCATCCTCGTTCGAGCACTGCAGCACTCCTGCGGCGGTATGATTTCGACGCAACAAACGTGGAGCAGGGTGCTGGAGACGGAATTCAAAAAGCAACGCGAAGCTAAAAACCCGCAAGATGTAAACGAGGGACTGGTAGAGTATGTGATTGCGCTTGCCAACGATCAGCTCAAGAGCGCAGACTTTGGCGAAAAACTGCTGGCGAGGATGGAAGGGGTGGTGAGCGAAAAGTACAAGCCGGTGGTGAAAAAGAGCTGCGATGATGCGATCAACGGGTACTTGGACGTCAGCAAGAGGTGCACGCAGGTGTTGGTGGATCTGGTATTTGCCGACGTCCGACCAGCGCTCAAGGATTTGTTCACCTTTCCCTCGTGAGTGCGGGTGGGGAGCAGAGAGGAGGAAACGTTGCGCTTCTTCTGACGCGGACGCATTTCGTGTGTGGTCAGATGGTATACGGGCGAGCCCACCACTGCGATTCTCGAAACGATTCGGGATTACACTTTGGACTACTCTGAGCGCCTCTCGACTGCGCTCTTTGATGTGCTGTTGGACGACCTGATGGATCGCTTCTTGACGGCGTATATCGGAGCGCTGAGACGAACCAGCAAGTTGCGCATGCCGGACGCGGCGAATCGTATGAGGGAGGATCTGAGGGATGTCAAGAACGTTTTTGGAGCGTTTAGGGAGGCACAAGGGGTGCAGGAGAAGTTGGAAGTGCTGGATCTGGTGTGAGTTGGGGGTCGTGAGGGTAAAGAAAGGCGCAAACGTAGAGAAGGATGCTGATGGCTGGCTGGCTGGCTGAACCTCTGCCTCTACGTCTTTTCGCAGCATCTCTATGCTCACGTCGAGCGCTACAATGGTCTTTCTGTCGTACTACAACTTTGCAAAGATGTGCGGACCTCAATTGCCATTCCTGGAAGCCATCATGCGTGCGGTGAGTCTCGAGTCCCGGCGCAGAGACGTATCGGCGCCATGCATCGAAGCGCACCTACACTTCGACTGACTGACTTCCCTTTTGCTCGCTCGATCGCAGCGGGACGACTTGGAAAAGTCGGACATTTCCTCCATCATGGAATCCGCTCGACGCAAAGTGACGCAAGAGGGCATGTCGGACAAGCCGGAATCATTGATTTCTCGCCTAGAAGCTGCAAACTCTACAGGTCTGCTCGCCGCTTTCGGATTTGGAGGAGGGGCAGCAGGAGCAGGCGGGGCGGGTGTGGGAGCTGGGACTGCAGCTGCTGCTGCTACGACGACGAATGCCAATCATGGCGCCCATGCCGCCGGTGCGGGTGCGGGTGCGGGTGCGCAGGGTGCGCAGCAGGGCGGATGGACGCAGTTGGCCGCCAATGCGCTCGGTGCTGTCGGTAGGCGGGGCTGAGTGAGTGGGGGCGTGCGCGCCGCGCGAAGGGACTTGACTTGCTGCTGCTGCCCCTCCGCCTCCCCCCTTCGACATCGGATTTGCAGACTTGCGAATTCGAATGTATTTGTACGATCCTTTGTTGTGCGCGTGCGTGCGTGCGTGCGCGCGAGAGAGAGAGAGAAGGCAGCTGGAGGAAGAGATCGCCTGCGCCTGGATCACGTGAGCGAAAGCGAGATGAGGCGCAGCCCGCAAACGCTCGCGCGCGCGCGCGCCCGCCTTGGCCCTCCCCTCCACTTCGACTTGGCAAGCGCGCGCGCGCGCTTGCGAGAGAGATTCACGTGATTCACATTTGGCTTGGTGTGAATGAACGAAGGAGGTGCGGTGCGCGCGGGGTTGTTCGCGCCCCCCTCCATCCCGCCATACTCCCATCTTGCCTGCATCACACCGTTTGCGACTGACAATGGAGAAGGACGAGGTGGATATTTGATAGCAAAGCAAAGCAAATCACACGCGAGAAAACGTCATCTCGATCCTGCGAAGCTGATACGGATTCACATTGCGCGTAGGATTCGCCATTGCAATGTGCAAAGCGCACGAAGAGGATGGCGAGATGTCGACTTTGCGCGGAAAGCAGCACGACAATGACGATGACGGCAGCAGCGGCGGCGGCGGCGGCGGCGGCGACATGGCCCAAGAGGCAGCATCAGAGAGGTTGTGGCCCAACAACAAGCTTGTCCCTTGTCCATCCTGCGCCAAGTCCATCTGTGCGAGCGAGGTCAATGAGCACTTGGACACGTGTCTCTCCTTTGAGGCGGCCCACCCGATCACGAGCGCCAGCGCCAGCACGAGCGCGAGCACGAGCACGAGCGCCAGCACGAGCGCCAGCACCTCTGCCAAGACGTCGCAAGATGTGTTCAGGAGGATGATGTCCTCGCAATCGACCGCGCACCCGCACCCGCACCCGCAGCATTGCACCACCACCACCACCACCACACCATCGCGCAGATCATCAGCCATCGCTTCCTTGGCGCATACAGACGCTTCCGCCACTGCGAAACGTCCAAGGCTCGACTCGACGCAGCACCCGCACGCGGATTCCGCATCGAGTGTGGAGCAGGAGCAGCAGGAGCAGGAGCAGGAGCAGCAAAGAGAGGCTTGCGTCGCCGCGCCGGTGCGGCAGAGGAGCAAGACGAGAGAGGATGCGGATACGAGACCTTTGGCAGAGAAGCTCAGACCTGCGTCGTTGGATGATTTCCTGGTGAGTGCGCCACGACGACGACGAGGACGACGACGAGGACGAGGACAAGACAAGACAAGACAATGCATGCGCATGCGCATGCGCATGCGCAGCCGAATTTTGACTCCTTTCTTCTGCTTTTCCTATCGCTTCGCCCGCCTCGCGTAGGGACAAGGAACGCTGCTGCATACGCTCAAGTCGTTGCATGCAGCAGGCAAGGTACCCTCTTGCATCCTGTGGGGTCCACCAGGCAGCGGCAAGACGACGCTAGCTCGCATCCTGTCCAAGTCTAGCTCGCAGCAGCAGCAACAGCAGCGCAAGAATAGACTGGTAGAGATCAGCGCTACGAATACGGGTGCGGTGGAGCTGAAGAGGATATTGGAAGAGGCTTTGTCCAGGTTGAAATTGATGGGGCAAAGGACGCTGGTGTTTGTAGACGAGGTGAGGCAGGCGCGGATGCGTGCAGCGAGGAGCAAGGAGCAAGGAGCGAGGAATGAGATGCTGACCCGACGCTTCTGAGCTTGCTTCAAGATTCAAAGATGGTCCAGAGCGGTGCAGGATGTGCTGCTGCCGTCGGTTGAAAAGGGGTGAGTGGGGTGGGACATGGCGCATGGGGCATGCTCGAACAGATGGGCAAATTGACGCACATGGCCTCCCACACCTCTCCCCACCACCCAACACTACACTTCTAGCGACATTATTCTGCTCGCGGCGACGACGGAAAATCCGTCGTTTAGGCTTCAAGCGGCGCTGCTCAGCAGGTTGCGCGTGTTTGTGCTGGAGAGGATGACGGTGGAGCATACGCGCGCGCTGCTTCGCAAGGCTAGAGAGAGGGTCGTCTCTGCGAGCGGCGATGACCATGCGATGCCGCTCGGCGCGCGGGACGAGATGCTGGATTGGATCGCTGTAATGGCGGACGGAGACGCTAGGTGAGGGGCAAGGTGGGCGCTGTGAGGAGGATCTGAGCATTCAGGCTGAGGTGACGCATCATCCACAGAACCGCTCTCAATTCGCTCGAATTGGCGTTATTGATGTCGAGTCAAGACTCGCCCACAGACATGGACTCGCTCAAAACTTTGCTGAGGCGAAGCGCCATGCAGTATGATCGGACCGGCGACGATCACTACGATTTGATTTCTGCTCTGCACAAGAGTATACGCGGCAGCGACGTCGACGCGAGCGTCTTTTGGCTCGTCTCGATGATTGAGCGGGGCGAGGTGAGCGGGTGCATGTGGACACGCCAACGCTTCAACCTGCTGCTCACATCACTGCACCGCACCACGCCCCCTTCAGGACCCGCTGTTTATCGCTCGTCGAATGATCGTCGCGGCATCGGAAGACGTCAATACACCCGAGGCTCTCAATATCGCACTCAACACGTATCAAGCCTGTCAGCTTGTTGGATATCCCGAATGTGCAGAGAACCTCGCTCAGGCCGTCGTCTTTCTCGCCGAGAGCGAAAAGAGCACGAGGGCGTATAGAGCGCTGCAAAAGGCCAGAACGCTGGTCAGACAGGGCACCAATGTGAGTGCGGCGGGCGGCACAACGCACGCGCGAGCGCCACGCAGCAAGCCATGCTCATAGCGCCACTCGCGCCGCCTCCGTCAGTATCCGGTGCCTGTGCACATCCGAAACGCTCCCACCAAGCTCATGAGGTCGCTCGACTACGCCAAGGTGGGTGGAGAGTGTTTGCGTAGATGGTGGATTTTGCCCTAGAAAGTGTTTGCGCGACTTTTGTGCCTCATAATGCTCTCCTCCCTTCCGACAGGACTATCGCTACGAACCCTCTTTTGCGCATCCTGTCCACCAAGAATACTTTCCATCCCAGCTCAAAGGCACTCGACTCGTCTCTCCGCCGCCAGGAAGAGCGCCCGATGCGCCCTTGTCAGCAAAAGGCGAGCAGTCGACAAGTACGAAGCTCGCAGCTGTTTCGCCCGCCAAACAATGGACCGGCGCCCATGCTGTGAGCGCGAACGAAGGGGTTGCGCAATCGCTTCGCTTGGCCACCTCAGATGCGCAAGGACCAGGATCTTGTCAGCGAGTCTGGAAGATTGGAGCAAGGGCAGTGGATTTGGACCTGCTGGACGAGTGGGAAAGGGAGCGAAACGGTGGCATGCGATGGCATGGCAGAGATGCGCTCGAAAAGAGTCTCGGTGTCGAGCGCGATGATAGCAAAGAGGCAAAAGAAGATCCGCCGCGGGACTCTCGAGCTGCAAACGATTCCGCGGACGTCGCAACCCCGCGACGCACAGCGGGCAGGTTCAGACCGAGCGCTCAGCAATGGGATCCGTCGGTGATGCTGCAGGACCCTGCTGCGAGCGGCGTCGCGCGACCCGCGTACGCCATCATTCTCCTCAATGCGCCCATACACGCGGATCATCGTCGGACCTTTGAACGGCTCTGGAATGGCGGTGAGTTGGGCGCGCGCGCGCGTGCGTCGCGCGCAGATCATCGCAAAGTTTGCGTGAGCTGACGATGGCTCATCGCACAGCGAATTATCGGGTCTGCGCGGATGGAGGTGCGAATAGATTGCACGAAGCCTATCGAAGCGGTGGCGAATCGGGCGAGACGGTCTTGGATCCTCATGCGATCCTGGGCGACTTGGACTCTCTGCACGCGCACGTGCGAGACTACTTTTCGTCCCTGGGCGTGGCGATCCATCATCGAGCTTCGCAATACGCGACGGATCTTCAAAAGTGCATTCAGCACATTGAGGATGTGGAAGCGCAGTCTCGCAGCAATGCCGGCGTACCAGGTACGACGAGCGAGGGGGAGATGCAGCTGGTCATCTTTGGCGGATTGTCGGGTCGTTTGGATCAGACTTTGCACACCATCCACACGCTATGGCTCTTGGCGCCGGGTGTGAGTAATGGGAGGGGCGTGGAGGATCCGGATGGTGGGGAAAGCGATGATGCCGAAAGAAGACGAGGAGGTGGCTTGAAGAAGCGCAAAAGGACATTTGTCGTGAGCGAGAATAGCGTTGCTTGGGTCTTGCCGCAGGTGAGTGGGCGTGGCGTGGCGTGCTGCCACCTCAAACGCCGGTCGCACGACTCGCAACTCATGCTCGCCCTCTTCACCTCGCCACGTTCAGGGCGAACATGAGCTGCACCTGTCACCCACAATCTTGGGCAAGACGTGCGGCATGCTGCCCATCGGTGCTGGCCCTGTAGGCGTACGCATCCAGACGGAAGGGCTGGAATGGGATCTAGGTGCGTGTCCCAGTCGTCCGTCCTCTGTGCGCACCAGGGCGTCTCTCTTGCTCAACTTCGATCGCAACTCGTTGCGCGGCGCTGCATTTTCCCCCCGTACCGTAGATGGATCACAGAGGAGCTCGATCGGCGGCTTTCTCTCCACCTCCAATCATGTGGCGCGAGCGCGGGTGAAGGTGCAGACGGATGGAGAGTTCTGTTGGACCGTCGAGCTTCGTAAGGATTTGGAGCGGGTGTGAGCTCCGCTCCAGAGAGAAAGGACATGCTTGTGCGAGCTCGTAAAGGTTCACTCCCGTCCGGTGCAACTCGTGATTCTTGATTGTGTGATGGTGACAGCTCCGACACTCCACAGCTCTCGCGCGTCACGTGACGGACGTGCGCATTCTGATTCCCGCATTGCTGCATGCGCTCCCGTGTGGTGTGACAGTCTAGAGTGGAGTCAGGGTGTCTGCTGTCTGCTTCTTCTTCCTGATCATCACCGCACCGCACCGCCACCACTGCCATCCACAGCGACTAGCATACATGCACCCCCCGCACCTTCTTGCTCCAGCACTGCATGCGCGAGGATGGACAGCTCATCGCGACAGGCCTTCAACATGAAGGTGCTATCGCGCTACGACCCTCAGGCAGTCTCGTTGCTGCAGAGCACCTCCTTCGTCGTGCTGTACACGTACGACGAGTCGAGCAGCGCATGGTCCAAGACATCCATCGAAGGTCCTCTATTCATCTACTCTCGAAGCTCCGCTCCGACGTACGGACTGTTTGTGCTGAATAGAAATGGCATGAATAATTTCATTGCGACGTTGGGAGAGCGGGATGAGGTGGATTGCAACGAGGGCTTCTTCATCTACAGACCTGCCGCCGAGGAGGCGCAGGAGGGGGAGCAGAGGCAGGAGGGGCAGGAGGAGCAAAGCAGCAGCTACACGTACGGCATTTGGATCTTTGAAGAGGAGCAGCGGGATACGTTGGGACAGGAACTGGTTAGGTGCGTTGGGGGCGCATACATGCGGGGGCTATAAGCTCGCCCTCAGCCTATCTCCCCTCCTTCCTCTCCACCCCACAGATTGCATCAACAGTCCGCAGATGCAAATTCGGGCACAGCGCCCGCGTCTGCCAGCCTCTCTGTGGATGCTCTCTTTCGTTCGTCAACACAAGCGTCCACGCCCGACACCAGCGGCCCCTCGCTGCTCGATCAGATGTTTGCTCAGGCCGCGGCCCCGTCACCGTCACCGCCAGCACCGCTAGCAGCGCCAGTCGTCGCGCAAGCAGCGGACAAGTCATTGCTGGACATGCTCTTCGCCGCAGGGTCCAGCAGTGCATCGCAAGCATCCGCCTCGCCCGCAGTCAGTCAAGGCAAGAGAGGGTCATCCACCCAGTCGGGCACCTCGCAGCACGCGCACATTCAACCTCCTCCTGCCGAATCGCTACCGCTACCCCTGCCAAGTCCCACGAGTCCCAGACGAGAATCGTACGCGTCCGCATTGGGATCCGCGTCGCGCAAGTCTGACGCGAAGGCCGTCAAAGAGGCCAACGACTCCGCAACGACGTCCGCCGAAGGATTGATGGCGCTGCTAGGTCTCTCCAAGCCTGCTGCAGGGACCGACGCTCCGTCTGCAAATGGGCGCGTGGCACATTCAGCAGGCGGGCCCAAGAGGATCGGTATGCAAGACTTGTTTGGTCCGGGTGCCGTAACACTCGACCGTAAGCTTGTGCTAGCTGCAAAAGAAGAAATTCGGACGGGCGAGCAGCACTTGCTCGTCGTCAGCTCGTCGCGACGGAAGGGAATCATCGCAGGACGAGGTGTGCTGCTGCGCGTTGGCAAGGGCAGGCCGACGAGACGGGAGATGGAGCAGGAAGCGCAAACGAGAAAGACTGAGCTCAGACGCGGAGATTATATCGTTTGCGCCTCGGAGCACCGGGACGAGGAGATGGATGCAGAGACGAGCGAGTGGTTGGAGGGGCAGGGGATCGCGTGAGTAGAAAGGAGATACTCATTCGCGCCGCGGGGATAAGCACGGCTGATTTTCCTCTGCGCCCCTCATCAGCCTCCTGCGTGCGCAAGGCGAGGCATTCTCAGCGATGCAAAGCGCTTGCGAGCGTCTACAACGCTGGACATGTTTCGTTAGCGGAGCGGTGCGAGGTGGTGAGTCGTTTGGACGGTGCAAGTCCGCACGCTCTTCTCACTGTTTGCATCCCCACAGACGAGAGCGGAGGAGAGCTCGTGGTTCTTTTTTAGCAATCGCGCTTCTACAATAGCACTATACAGGGTGATGTCTGCGAGGTCGAAGCAATGCGCAGATGGTGTCACGTTGGTCGCCAGCCATGTGCTCGAAGGGCGGCAGCCTGGGTCATTCGAATTGGTCCTGATCTGGTCCGTGGGTGAACTCGGCATCGCACTCGAGCCTATCGGAAGCAAAGTGTCTCGAACAGCCCTTGCGCGTTCATTCGAGCTTCCACATGCGTCGGTAGCGCGTAGGTTCATGAAGCTGCACGGCTGTGGCAGGCACGCACCTCGTCATCGAATGCAGAGTTGAGATCCCTGCGCAGTGCAAGAGGCCCAAACAAATGCACCAGAGAGCAGCTAGCTGCCCTTGGAAATCTGATGTTCTCGCAGGTTATTGGACCTAACCCGGGCGGGGACAGACGACGTTGGCTGAAGATGCTCTGATGGAAGAGGTGCAAGTGATGAAGCAAAGGCTGTACAAGCCATGTCGATGCGACGGCGGGCGGGGCCCGTGCCGACGTGGGTTGGGTGGGATGAACTGAGATGCACTCTACTCCCTCCCTCGCACCCCCTCGCGCCTCGCAACTCCGCTGACCAAATGAACACACCCGATGGGCGCATCGCATCACGCGCAAAGCTGGCAGCTAGGCTGTTCAGCACGCCTCGCTCCGATACTTGGCATCGTGGACAGCAGTGCAACGCTACCCACAGCAGCATGTGCGAGCGATCGTGACCGCGATAGCGTGCTGACTATGTACGGGCGACCGCCGCCGCGCAATTCACGTGCAACCGCGCGCGCGCGCGCGCGCGATCGGATCGGAGGCGAATCGGAGTCAAGCAGCGCACGCGCCGCGCCGCGCCGCGCGGTCCGCCTTGACTGCGCCCGCGGTGCTGCTGATTCGCGACTCTGCCTCAATACACGCAGCATACCGTACATGCTTTTGAGATTCAGAAGAAAAGGCTACCGCGTACCGCGATTGCAGTCACGAGTTCTGCCATGACGACGCACGGTCGTGCGCGCGCGGGCCGGGTCCGGGGTGGGTGGGCACTCAAGTCACCAAGTCACAATCGAATCGCTCGCTTCGCACACGAGAGGAAAGCGATATATAAAGAGGCACTGCGCTCTCACCATGCTCCTCCGCAAAGTTTCCTGCACCATCCCACCCTCCACGCATCGTCCTCGCAAGCAAACGCCCACTCAGCCAAAGCTCCATCATGATCATGCGCTTCTTTCACGCGCTCACTGCCATCTCGGTCTCGCTGCTGCTCCTCTCGGTCCGCGCTGAGGATCAGCTCATTCTGCGCCCATCCTCCGACGAGGAGCAGCGCCGCGCCACCCAGCCAAAGTGCGGCATCGACGACTATCGCTTCAAGTTCTTGCGTCCTGCTGTGAATGCTGCGCTGGAACAGGGCGAGGAGTTCGAAGTCATCTATTGTGAGTGTGCGTCGCGTCTCTGGGCCCATCCTCGCGTGCTCGGGCCCCGCCTTACCTTGCTGTCATTCTTCTCTCCCCCCGCAGGCTCTGGGGCCTATTTCAAAATCTCCTCCATCGAAGCGACGCTGTTCCTGGAGCAATCCTACCGTACCAACCTGCAGCACATCTACACGCTGGCCGAGCACGTCAAGCCCGTCGCTGGCGAATCCGACGCGGGTTACAGCGCCTACCATTTCAAAGCTCGTATTCCAAAGGAGATCGATCTGGCTAGCAACTTTAACCTCCTTCTCAATGAAACGACCACCACGTACGGATATGGCGGCAATGCGGACGGCACAGACGTGTACGATACGTTGCTGCCCATCAAAGTCTTTGAGCAAGGCGGCACACCTCGCCCAACGTCCGACACGCCAAAAGGTCCAGCATAGGTAGGCCTGGCGAGGGCACCCCCAAGGCAATTCAATGTTTTCCCCCGATCTACGCACCGCACCGCTCGACAAGAAATTCGGATCGGATGAGTTGCCAGCTGTATTGCTTGGCCCAATTCGGCTTCGCTCTTCTCCACGATGCAAAAGATGACGTTCCATGGTATGGCCTGCGAGCGCAATTTCCGCGCCTTGCGATCCTGATCGAGATTGGACTCGACGTACACGGGTCCCATATCGCACAGCTATGCAATGGAAACATCTTTCGACATCAGCATGAGCGCAGGTTGCTGCCAAAACGCCTGTCTTCAAGTGTGCCTTGGCTCTCAGCGATGGTCTCGACGGTAGCAGAGCAATCCGCGCACCGCATTGCGCCGCTGAAGCGTCGGTCGTTGGCGTTGGCTAGGCATTGCTTGAAAGGCGGTAGGCAGTACTCGCACGTAAGCGTTCGGCCAGATCTTCTCCCTTTCTCTGTCGGCCCTCGTTCAGCTCGACATCCCACCCGACTCTATTGGGAGCCGGAGCCAGGTCTTCTGGCGTGTACAAGCCCCATCGTCCGTTGAGAGTTGAAACGAGCAGAGCTTCTTTGCACAAATATTTGTACGCTTTGAAGCTGCCCGTGCTGATCTCCTGCTCGGTAGGCCTTAGCTGGCTCTCGTCCAACGAAACAGCAATGTCTTCGACGCAGGCAATAAGCAGCACGATGCGCAAATCTTTCAGACACTCTACGCATTCGTGCCGTGCGTCATGGATGCCGGGTCCGCGGGCATCCATGGCACTCGTGCCGATGACACCAAGTCGAGAAGCGAGCGCAACTCCTTCACGGGAGCCCGACTGATAGAAACGCGTCGCGTGCGTCGCCGTTGCGCTGCAGATCTCGAGTCGACTGACCGAGTCCCCATCTTTACAGCGGCCTCAGAATCGTCCTTATCTGGCCTTGAATACTGCGCGAAAATACTTGACCCCCCCTTGTTCTCATCCCTTTTTCGTCTTTTGCGCGTGCATTGGTCCGTTTGAGAGGGAGAATGGAAAGCATCGTGACGCCAAGAACGGAGCTTGCGCTCTGCGCCTCCTCCGCTTGAAGCCCGCGTCAACTTCTCGAGTGATCAGCTCCAGGTCGAAATTGGCTCTCTAGACCGAGCACTTGCAAGCAAGCCTGGAGCTACAGCTGCATGCCACCAAGGTGAGATCATCGGGTCTTGGACACGTGAAAGAGGATGGGCGGTGAATGGTAAAGCGCCGCAAGCGAGCGAGCGGAAAAACAAGACGAAAGTCGTGTTCATGTCAGGCACCTCGCTTTCAACACTGTCCAAGCGCTGCCACGTCGACTCACCTTCCGCAAGATCCTCGTCAGAGGACCGCAAGCAATTTGAAGCTTTGCCGTGATCCAAAAACCCCAGGCCGTCTTTTCAGGGTGTGAGCGTACAGCAAGACCACTCGAATTCTTCGAGATTCGACATCTGCTCGACGAGGTAATGCAGACCGTCTTGGGCTTTGAAGTGATCACATCCTTTGGGCATCTTTCTTTTCCTGTTCCAGTCAAGCCGCTTTCCGACAATTAATCTGGTCATCAGGGCCCGCGCCCCAAACCGCACCGCACTCAAGACTCTCGCCATGCCTCTACGCTTCTGCAATTGTACCTGGCTTGACTTTTCGCAGACTCGAGCAGCACCGCCTCTGCGCGAGTCTGAGAAAGAGACGGATCGAACGCGCTTAGCTGGCTGGAGTTGGAGCCGCACCAATCACGACACCCACCTTGTCCCTATCCACGACCGTACACCGCGCGGCATGTACACCGCGCCGCACGTGTACGCCTTGTTTTCTGCATTTGTGACTGAACTTCTGATTACGAGCGCAGCCCTCTCCATTCCTTCCCATTTTTTTGCAAAATCAACCAGCTGCCAAGTCCGGCGGCAGTTCTACATCAGCGCAACCTGGCAGTTGACTGCCAGCAGCGAGACAGAATCTCACGCTGGGCGCGCTACCGACTCTCTGAGCGCGTACAGATTCACGACGCTATCCACGGCAGCAGTGCCCCTGCATTCGTTTCCTAGCACAACCAATAGAAGTGATAGTGGGTAGGCGCCGCAGGAGAACCATGATATGACACGCATGCGTCATTGTACTGGAGCAGCCACCGTCCTACGTTCTCTGTGATAAATGTCCGCGAAAGTACAGGAGACCGCGTACCACATTGCGTGCAAGCTCAGGATCCTCTACTACCCATCGCTTGAATGGCGGCACGCATAATTCATATGTAGAGCTGGGAGAGTCTGGCTCACTTGGTCTGACCGGAGCCCCTGTCGGTGCGGCTCGAGTGGCGTCTCCTTTAGGCTCTCCAGATGTATCATCGTCGACTTGCAAACAAGTATAGAGTCCCTGTGCATCCAGCTTCGGCTCGGATGCCGGATCGCAGCAGTATTCGACGACGCGCGTCATCGTAGCGTCAAGATCTTCCTCCGATATGCTCGTATCGTCTTGAGGTCTTGCAATAGCCGGAATTTCTGCGACACAGGGTAGTAGGGACGTGCGCAGCCGATTGAGGTAGTCCGCGCACTCCGACATCATGGGCTTCGGATGACGCTGACCGTAAGGTAGACCAACAACTAGCTCGAGCGCCATCCAGATTGGAAAGAGTCGTCGAAGTGCAAAGATTTGAGGACTTCCAGTTGAGAAGCTCTCTATGTGACCAACGAAGACGGCTGTCAACAGCGTCTTGACTCGTGACTGGAGGACACAAGTAAGATACTCCTCCCCTTTCGAAGTGATTTCCTCGTCCGCTTCGAGCCATGCCCAGCCTTTTGGCAAGAGTGCACTATCACGGGGGAAGACGTCGATAGGGGGGTCGTTCGCTTGCAATGCTGCACCAAAGACAGCAGAATCGCTGTCTACGTCGCAATTTCGTAGCCATGCGGGATCTCTGGCCACATTGAGACGGAAGCACTCATCAGTGAGTGACAAGGTTTGGAGAGCGGGCGATGCGGCCGCTAGCCACCACACGGGGAAATCGACGCATCTGTCATATCGAAGGATAGCTTTAAGCAGGCAGTTTGAGAGGCACTCATGGTCGATGCATTGCACTCACCCATGACATGGCTTTCTCCTTCGCAATGGACTCGGCGGAGTCGGGTCTTGGTCCCCAGGCTACTTGCACAAGCTTGTGGCAAGGGCATCGTCGGAGTGACCCACTCGAACTCTTGAAGATTGTCAAATGCCTCCAGCACAATGAGAATATCGTCTTCTGCTGCACGCCGGCGGTAGTCTTTGGGCATGACGTGAAGCTCGTCCCCCCTTGGTTTCTTTGTTGTTGTCCCACATGTCGGGTCCTCTGGCCCAAGGCTTGTACGGATGCACCCATGTGGGCCACCAAATGTCCTCCTCAGCGTCGTAGAAGCCGATTCCCTCTTCTTTCTCTCCTCGCGATCTGTATCCTGCAATTTTTTCTTGACGAATCTGGGAAGGGGATCAACACTGTGCACGTTCGAGACGATCCACTGGATGTCAATTGCAATCGTTGATCCTGGCTCACTTGTTCTCGATCTAAAAAGACATAATCCATTGGCCAACCCATGCGACGGGGCTGCTGGACATCTACGTCCATGGTAGGGAAGGACCATTCAAGACTAAATGAGGTCACAAGTGGGCGCAGATCATCGCGTTGGTGATCAACGAGCAGGGTACGGAGGGCTCGGACTTCTCGGAATGTGTGGCAAGGCACCGTCTTCCACATCAAAGGTAAGACAATCTCTCGCACAGCCCGACAAGTTTGCGAAAGGCTCAGGAGAGAGCAGCAATCGAGTCTGCTTCTGAAACTTGTCACAGACTCGTACGGAAGTTGTGAGGTAGAGCGCGGACACCGCACATAGTACCAGCGCCAGGTGTAGCTTGCCGTTGGACAGACATGCTGTACAATCTCGCTGTCACGAAGCGTATGATGAGCGAGTGTCGAGGTCAGTAGAAGGACGATTGAAGACCAAGGGCAGCTCTCAAGCTAGTCTATGTTATTTCAGATGTGCTGACTTACTTCAGAAGCTCGACTGGCAAATGAGTGAGCATCTGTGCTCGCACACACTACCTCCAAGAAGCGGGTCGGGAGGAGTGTCGCGTCCAGCGATTGTTCGATGAGTGATGCAGGCTGAAACTTGGCGTTGCGATTGTCGCAACCTAGGATGGTGGTGGTTGTGAAGCGAAACGTGCCCCGTTACCTATCATCTGCTGTGACGCACTCTGGCCGAAGGTGACCCAGCAAATTCTTCCGAATACCGCCGCTGCAAGTATAGTGACCACGCGGCTTCAATGCGCCTCACCTCTCATGCGCACGCGGTGAGATGCAGGCCGGCATGCGCCCGCGTGAATTCAAAGCGCGGAAAAGTCGCATTCCGCAAAGTCATGAGTCCGATACATCGGTGCGCCAGTAGACGCAAGAAGGGACCCTCGACGCAGAAAGTACAAGGGAAGCTCAGTGTCACTCAGCTCTCGCGCTCCTTTGTAGTGCCACAGCGATAATGTTGCAATGCGCTTGTCAGCCACAGCTACGGGCGAAGCGAGCATGCTATTCAGATCGCGTAGGACTTTCATTTTGACAGCTTTCCTCTGACGTCGCTGTCCATCCGCAGGATCGGATGTCAATCTCGAAAGCAACCGCGTGGCTTGACTTTCAAATGCCAGAGCTGGAGGCCTCTCGTATTTCGTGCATGCTTATGCGACGCCGGCGCGGCGTCGGCTGGTATTCTGCCTGTGACTTTTGTTGCCTCGCATGCTGTTCAGAGGGCCAAAGAAATGACCATCTTGCAAAAGTTTCGAAAGTGGTGCTTTCTCACACCCCGCACGAGATTTCTTGTTCAAGCAATACAACTCTGCGGGCTGACGAGTACTGGTCCTCTGACGGATCTTTGTACGGGCGTTAAAGAGCTCCTGATTGCAAAAAGCGGCATGTCAGAGGCCGGCGACATGATCTTGACCTTTTCAGTCTTTGATGAGAGCTCTCATGCGTTGGCAAGAGCATTAGTATGTTGACGGTAATACAGAAGGCCACGTACAGTGTTCCGCGCGAGCACTGGGTCGTCTACGAGCCAGCATTTGAAGGGTGGAACGCGTTGCTCGTAAGTTGATTTCTCGCTATTGTCTTGATCTGTCGCTACTTGACCTGGCATAATGCTACGCTGTGACCCGTGTGTCGTGAGCGGCTCGTGGAGCTGATAAAGACCTCGCGACTCCAGCTGTGGCTCTGGGGTAGGATCCCGGCAAAGGGCGACTATCATGTGTGCGGCCTTCTCGACAGCATCGTCCGCAAGTCCAGAAGGGTGCAGCTTGTTGTCCAGCACAAAGCCCGGCAACACGTCCAGAGAAGGCAACAACGCCGCGCGAAGGCGGTTGAGGTACTCGACACATTGCGTTGCCGTAGTAGAACCGAAGCCCCTCGAGCCCGAGCATGAAATTCCATCCAAATCGAGCCTTACAGCCATCCATATCGGCAACAATAGCCTGAGCGCAAAGATTTGCTCGCTTTTCGTCTGGAACTCTCGCAGCGAATGGTTCGCCACGGCGATCAAAATGGCCTTGACCCGCGACTGCAAAAGATAGTCCGGGTAAACGTCCTCAGATTCGTCCCAGTAGTTCCAATCCTTTGCAAGCAGCTGGACATTGAGCGGAAATATGATGGTAGGAGGATCTAGGCTTGTGAGGTCTATCCCAAATATGCTGCTGAGCTCGCTCGATGTGTCCGACGGTCGGAGCCAAGGCATCTCTCGCCGCACTTGTAGCCCAGTGATGTAGTCGGGCAGGACAAGGGTAGCGAGGCGTGGAGCTGTTGCAGCGTACCACAAAGGGCCCAGAGCACCGTCTGGCATGTACAGACGCGTAGTTGCTCAGTGAGAAACGGTGCCCACTCGTGATGGAGGGCGCGGAGACTCACCCACGACGTACGCTTCGCCTGCGCATCGAATTCTCATGAGGCTTGACTTTTTCCCCAAGGAGGAAGCCACCATCTCTGGCAAAGGCATGACACCGCATCTCCACTCGAAAGACTCTAGACACCTTAGGGCCTCAATGACGGCAGAGAGATCCTTTTCTGCCCAGAGACGATCGTAGCCCAACGGCATCGGTCTCGCATCGTTCCATCCTGCCCCGCTGTCGTCATACAAATCAGGGCCTTTGCCCCAAGACTTTTCTGGAGGTATCCAGCTTGGCCACAGAAAGTCCTCATCGGCTTCGTAATAGCAGCCATTTTCTTCATCGATGCCTTGCGCGACACATCTCGCGATAGACGCCAGGCGGATCTGCATTTCCAGTTCTCAACGGTCTCGATTAGCGTCGTTCGCTTCCATATTCCGGCAGCCTGGCTCTCACCTTCTCTCGATCTAGGAACACGAAGTCCATTGGCCAGCCCAGGCGTCGCGGATGTGTGTCTTCTACGGCCGTGATTGGGAACGACCATTCAAATGTGAATGCTATGATCAGGGCAGCCAGGTCACCTCGTTGCTGGTCACACAGCAAATTTCGAAGCGCATGCAGCTCTCGAAAAGAGACGCAGTGGACTGTATGCCAAATCCAGGGTAGCGCTGCGCGACGAGCCCTTCGAAATGTTTGCGAAATGTTGCGGAGTGGCTCAGTCTCTTCTTGCATGGCCGCTTCTTGGCAGGGGGCTGTAGGCTTTGCGCTCCTCGCAAGCGCAGGACGATAGTAGTATCGCAAGCAGTCACGCCTTGGATAGGTGCAAGCGTGCTTCACCACTTGACTTTGTGGTGGCAAATTCGTTGTCTCCTGTGAGCGGTAGGCCTTTTGGCAGTCGCGCTCCGTCAGCTGGACTCACACAAGAAGTTCAGGGGGTAGCCGGTCAAGCATCCTCAATGCAACCCTTCGGCAAGCGTAGAATCGCACCAATCTGCGTTGTGCAGGAAAACTTGCCCGGCGACTACGATCAAAGTTCCCTCGAGAGTCATGTCGAGGATGAGGAGATGCAACAAAGTGTACAGCGCGTCGCCCGATGGTGATGTGCGTCGTGAATGGCCAATCGCTATAGTTACGGAATGGACATCAATCAAGGACCTCACACTGATGAGACTCTCAATGATGCATGACCGCTGACCGCGCCTGTCATGCGCATCGCTCTAGCGCGCGTTTGTGCAGAACCCTATCTGCATGCAGGCGTGCGTGCATGGATGCATATGCGCACACCCTCTCCTGCATGTGTTGCGATCGGTCGGTCTGCATTTGTGCGGATTGGCGCTGCGTGCCCGATGGCGGGATCAAACTGCCGCGCGAAGCGAGAGCAGACTTTGAGGCGATGTGTGCATCTTGAATGCGCTCGCAAAAGTGGTTGAGGGGGTTTAGGGTAAAGTGGCTTACCAAGCAGTGTTCTCCTGGCTCTCAGCTATCAGAATGAGACCTCATTTTGGTTGTAGAGGGGCTCAACAACTTTTGCAGAGGGTGTGCATGTGCAGTGCGCGTGCAGTGCGCGTGCAGTGGTGGCAAACTCAAAAGCGCTCGCGAAAGTTGTTCAGAGCGTTTGGGAACATTTGGCTTACCAAGCAGTGTTCTTCTGGCTCTCAGCTATCAGAATGAGACCTCATTTTGGTTGTAGAGTGGCCCAACAACTTTCGCAGAGGGTGTGCGCGTGCACCGCACTACTGGTATAAGTCGAGGATTTTACGCCGTAAACTAGGCCGCACTCCGCCAAAAGACGCGTGTCTGGAAGTCTGCGGAGCTGATTTTGAAGATTTTACGCCGTAAACGTGCGCAGACAGATTTCTGCCATACGCGCCATACGCGTCATACGCTGCTATGGGCGCGTTCTCGGCCGGCAGCGCGCGCACGTGACTGTGAGCTCAGATTTGATCGCACACCCCAGCCTGCCATACGCGAAGCCGGACAGAGGCGCGCGCGCGCACCACGCGTAATTTATCCGCTGCATCTTTAGTCTGCATGCAGCGCCCGTGTTGCGTCGCGCGTGCGCAGGGGTTTTGGCTGTGAGATCAAATTTGATCGCACACCCAAGCACGCACGCAAGCACGCATGCAGCGCGTGACTGTGAGATCACATTTGATCCGCTCATTGTCCCTGGCACCGACACTTTGACAGGCTAGTGTGCGGCAAGCATGCTACCAAATGAGATACTAATTACACTGTCAGAAAGCTGTGATAGGGGCATTTTGTGTGGTGCAATTTGCTTGCTCAGATGGTGCCTCAGCAAGCACAGAACATGCCCACAATCCAAGAGTGATATGCGTCAACTTCCCACCAAACAGGTGCGCTGGCATCGACACTTTGAGGGCTCACTGTGAAGGTTCTTGTTCACCAATTGGCTTGTTCAGACGCTCAGTGGGTAGGTTTGATAGGGGCATTTGCTGTAGTCAAGACAGTTGTGCTAGAACAAGGGCCAGCAAGCAGTGACAGGCGCTCAAAGATTGGCATGTGCAGGGACAACAGACGCGCCAGCCTTGTTGTGCACGCGTGGCTGCCCCACTATACGCGCGCTCATTGTGTCAGCAATGACGCGTACCGCTCACAGCCCCTTATTGTCCCTGGCACCGACACTTTGACCTGCTGGTGTACAGTGAGCAAGCTGCCAAATGAGCTACAAATGGCACCGTCAGGAAGCTG